ACAGAATCCTAACCTGTTTCCCTAGCTTCTGCTGAGCATTAATCTGCTTTTTGCTTCTCTGGCTTTTCTTACTGTGAACACTTCAAATAAATTCAGTCATATCATGTGTGACCTTTTGAGTCTGGCTTCTTTCACTTAGCAAAATGTTTTCAAGGATTATTGAGAATGTAGCATGTATGATTACTTTATTTCTTTTTTCTTTCTTTTTAGAGAATTTTTTTTTTCTATAGAGCATAGGCACTTGCTGAGGAGACAGAGAGAGATATGTAGAAGTGAGAAATCACTCCCCCGAGAGATGGCCATGCAGCAATCTCTTCTCCTGCATTCTTCTCTCAGGATTTGTGGCATGCATGCAAACATGCACAGTGTTTCAAGCTAGTGGGTCTGGAACTTGAACCACAGTCAACCATGTGAGAGTCCAGCACCATAATCACTACATCATCTGCTGGCCCCTCTTTTTTCTTTTTAATTTGACAGTGTTTGTGTACTTGCCAGAGTGTGACAGAAGGATAGAGATGGAGGAGAAAGCACCCCCTCAATGTGGTATGGTCACCCCTTAATCTCTTTTTCTCCATCTCTTCATTGGATTGGAATTTCAGGCACACATACATGCAGTTTATGTGCCACTAGGCCTGGAAATTGAACCACACAGTTGGCCATATGGAATCCAATGAGCTGACCCAAGTAATTAATTTCTGGGCATTCCCAAATAATATTCCTTAAATGGGTATCACACTTGGTTATCCATCTATTTCTTTTTTTTTTTTTTTGAAAATTTTTTTCTTTAAAATTTATTTATTTTTTTTACATTAATTCACTATACATCATTACAACATACAAACAAATTTTCCATCCAAAATACACTGTATATTGGCTCAATCAAGCACATCAACATACATGTTATCAGCAAATAATTTTCCATTTCTTATGTCTTGTATACTTTGTTTTTTTTTTTGTTTTGTTTTGCCATCCTTAATTCCCTATCACTCACCCTCTGTCATGTCCCACCCTCCTCCCACATTGTCTCTGGTATCCACGGTTGCTTTCTATGCCTTCCCCCCCATTTAATTGATTTGCTAATGAATTTAATTAGTCTAAATATTTCCAATTGCTAGCGCAGCTAATATATACTTATACATGAACCCAAGTCTTTAGGCATAATTTTGCCATCCTTAATTCCCTATCACTCACCCTCTGTCATGTCCCACCCTCCTCCCACATTGTCTCTGGTATCCACGGTTGCTTTCTATGCCTTCCCCCCCATTTAATTGATTTGCTAATGAATTTAATTAGTCTAAATATTTCCAATTGCTAGCGCAGCTAATATATACTTATACATGAACCCAAGTCTTTAGGCATAAACCTCAGTGAGTGGAATGA